AGGACAAGAAGATAAATGGCGGATTCTAAATGTGAGGGAACGGCCCGTCCCAGAGAGCAACTGCTCATTTCTCTTTCTGTCTTCAACTCTGCACTGTTGTTCACTTTTTTGTCTTTTCTTCTTTTTTTGCCTTTTGCCATATATCCTTTCGCACTTTCTTGTATTTTGTCTAGCATCTCTCCAATAGCCTTTACGTCAGTATAAACAGTTTTATTTTATTTTATTTTATTTTATTTTATTTTATTTTATTTTATTTTATTTTATTTTATTTTATTTTATTTTATTTTATTTTATTTTATTTTATTTTATTTTATTTTATTTTATTTTATTTTATTTTATTTTATTTTATTTTATTTTATTATTTTATTTTATTTTATTTTATTCTTGGTATCAGTCAAACCAGTTTTGAGAACTGGATCATTGAATTGATTTTTAATGAAAATGATTTCAACATTCAACTCACTGACTAAATGATCCAGTTGTAATGAATAACAGCTCACTGTAGTCGGAATAATGATTTCAGTTTTGACCTTACGCGGCTTCTGAAGATTTGGAATATAGTGCACAGGTCATTCATGGCGCTTTTTATGGTTTTGGTCCTTTTTGTAAGGTTTTGGTCTTTTTTTGAAGCTTGAAAGCTTCAGTCCCCATTCATTGTAATTACGACATGAGGGTGAGTAAATGATGACCGGATGTTCATTTTTGGTTGAACTATCCCTGTAATGACTGCGTTTGCTTTCCCACAGCACTGTGTCTGTGGCTGTTTTATTATTCAGGTTATTCTTGTTTGCTGTGATCTCCACATTCCTCTCCGCTGTCTGCCTCTAGAACATGGGCGATGCACATCCCCACCACTAAACCCCTTCCTGTCTCAACCCCTTACAGTAGTTAGTTCCTCTCATCTGTATCTTTCTCTTTCCCTTTCCATTTCCGTTTGCCAATAGAAATTCCATATTGTGGGTGAATCTCCTGAAATCACGTTTCACACCAAAATTGTAGAGAAAAAAAAAGAAATTATATTTTGCATAAATAAAATGAAACCTATTTAGAGGATTAAAATAATGACGCAATGCAAAACAACGTTTAAATATTAAATCTTCAATACTCTCATTGATTCTAATTAGTATTTTTATTATTTTTTAAACTGTATTACTGACAGTTACTGTAATACAACGACATATCCAGTACCATTCAAAAGTTTGAGGTCAGTAAGTTTTGGTTTATGATTTATTTTTGGTGTATTTTTTAAAAAATAAATTTATACTTTTATTCAGAAAGGACACATCAAATTGCTCAAAAGTCACTTTTATATTGCTACAAAAATCTATTTCAAATAAATGCTATTCTTTAAACACACTGCTGGTCATGAAAGTAGGCTTAATTTTATTGTAGTAAAATATAATTTTAAATTAATTTCTGTTAAATTTGGGGTTAAATGTGCCCCAGACATCCTAACAGGTTTTGTGAGATCCACCCATGTCCATTCTTCGCACCTGAAGCTCAGCGTCAGTGTCCTGGATATTTGTGTTGGATCACGGCTGCTGTCCTGAGCTGCATGCGGCAGCCTCCCATCGCTCAGCGTCCTGTTATTTCCCTCTCCTTGTTTTTCCTGCATTGTGTTGTTGGTGAACAGTGACCTCTTCGCTCCCAGCTCTTTCGGCCTCCCCTCCCACGTTCTAATCATAAAGTGTGGAGTCCAGCACATCCCATCATTCCCCTCTCCTGTTTTCTTTACCAACGCGAGAGAACGCGGGGCGGCAGTATGAACATTAAGTGTGTATTTTGGTCCACGGACTCCAGTCGAGTGTGAAATTGTGGGGCTCTCCGGCTGAAAGCGGAAACGGCTGGAAAGGCCTCATGGATGGAGGGCTGCAGTTTTAACAGCGTGTCTGAGACTCTGCTTAAAAAAACAGAGCGCTGATGTACTGCATATGTGCAGAGGCCCTGTACATTATAGCACACGATATTTGTGATATTACTATTGAGATGTAACAGCTACTGTAACTCTAAATCGTTCTCCTGTTTTATGTTTTATCACATTATTCCTCATAAAAGCCTGTGTGCTGTTAAAGGAACAGTTCACCAAGGACTGGAGCTTTCCTCCGTCAAAAGGATTCAAAGGGAACCGTAATAGGATCGTAAAGTGGTCCATATAACTTATAGCGCTATATTCAAAGCCTTCTGAGTCCATATGATTGCTTTGGGTGAGAAATAGACCAAAATTCAAGTTACTATTTTACCTTCCAGTAAGTGAGTCAGTGAGCAGAAATTAAACTGGATCATCAGGTTTATGAATGAATCATTTAGAACTCAATCAAATGATTCATTGAAAATATTTGACTCTAAAAAATGATTCATTCATGAATCAGGCAACATTACTTGCTGTAATGAACTCTTTATGAGCTCATAATGGCGGATGTCAAGATTTTCAGTGAATAACAAGGAACATTTTGGTTTGTTTGTTGTCTGTAGTCAATGTATGAGATTCAGAATGTGTATGAGACACATGAGACACTTTTTTGGTGCGTTTCCATTTTTTTATAAACTAGAAAGCTCTAATCTCAATTCAATACACAGTTACACCAAAGAAAGACGCACATAAAGGTTTGAAACGACTTGAGGGTAAGTAAATGAGTTTTTAGATTTGAGTGAACTGTCTCTTTAAATGTTTTTGTTTCCGAAACCAGGTCCAGTTTATTTGATCCAATCTGATCTGACTGAATTAAATAATTTTGATTGCGTGTTTGAATACAAATGTGCGTTTTGAAAAGAAAAAAAAACTGTCACATGGCAATTTGTCTTGGATCTTCGTGCTTCCTGATGTTGAAATTGGCTCGAAACTGGCTGGCTGTGGTTCCAATCTGCATATTTACATGTGTTTGTGCTCAGGTTGTTTCAGTGCAATCAGGGACTGTGGCATGACGTTAACAAAGTCTCCTCCTGCTTCTCATTAACTTTTTCTCCCCCCCGCCTGAACCTGATCGTCTACATTCAGAGGTAGATATAAGTGCTCTCTGATTTAATATTCATTTCCCTTGCCCTCAGGCCTCTCTATTGGACCTGAAGGAGCACGCCTCGTCCTTGGCCTCCTCTGGACTGAAGAAGGACTCCAAGCTGAAGAGTCTCGAAATCGCTCTTGAGCAGAAAAGAGAGGAATGCACCAAATTTGAGAGTCAACTCAAGAAGGTGAGCCAGACAACTGGAGGGAATTGAAGCATCACAGCTAGCAAACACACAGTCTCGTCGTCAGCTAAGCAACCGAGAACGCCTAACAAGCCATTAGGGTGACTGGCATGCCGTTAGCGCTACATTGACAACACTTAATACAGTGACAGCGAGCTGAATGTTCGCTCAAGTGCACTTTACCTGTGGAGTTTTTCCTCTGTCGAGTACTATAGAGGGAAGATATTAGCTCTGTTCCAGACCTGAGCGAGACTGTGATCAACATAGGCTGCTACCTTCAATGACAGCATCCTAAATGAATTAGAATCTTATACTTGACTCATTTGAAACACTTCAACAGCACAATTATGTTAACAGGCACTCAAATGCAAGTGCGAAAAGATACTCAACAAACATTCATTCCAATAGAGTCTGATCAGAAGACTTTAGATATATAAAGAGGGTGCACTTACATACTTAGGAATGGGAGAAAGAGCAAATGCAGAATATAGCGGAATAAATCCTGCCTTCTAAATAAAAGGCCATGCACTTTTTAATGCCATCTGAGCATAAGAAACATTTATGGGGCCGTCATGTCAGATTTTGTTGCTGATTTGAAATATGTAACTTAATTATGAGTGTTGCAAGCAGATTTTGAGATTTCAGGATTTGATTTATTTAAATAGATATGTTACAAATGTTGCCCAGCTAGACTGCTCTCTTGGAACAGGTTTTGGAACAGAGCTATTTAATGAATTTCATATCTTATGGCTCCTGCACACTACAGAGATCTCTGATCGCATTGCACTACGTAAATTCTAACGTGCAGGTGCGCTTATGCCTCACTTCTGTGACTCGTGTCTTGGAAACTGCTGTGTATGTTCCCAGTTAGGGCTGCACAATATTGGAAAAAACTGATGTTGTGATATTTAGTTCTCCTGTGATTTATTATTACAATATGAAAAATAGTTTTTTTTTTTTTTCAACTGTTGACTAAAAAAATTTATATATATATACAGTGTATGTATATATATATATATATATATATGAAAAATACATTTATATTTATTAATTGTCATTATTATTGCAGTATAAAAATTATGTCAAAACAGTGTTGTAATGTAAAAAAATATTTAATTAAATAAATAATTTGATTTGATTTTATAATACACTGTAAAATTACAATATTACCATTAACTATTAATTACAATATCAATGTATTTTGGCACATTGTCAGCAAATAAGTGTTCACACTGTTTGTTTTTAAGTGAAGCATGGCACTGTTCATGTTTTCCGCTCATGATAGTGCTTTTCAGAGTGGCTTGATTCACAGTAAATGAACTAAGCTGCTTTGAGATGCTAAAAAACATTATGAGCTGCATGCATGTACTGTAAATGAACAGTGCCATGCTTCAGCCATAAACAATATCAGTTTTATTTCGATATATTGAGCATATCGTATTCCCAATCATCTCAAGTCTCTTCTTTTTGTAGCTCATGCTACTTCAAACCACTACAAGTGATGCTCTGACACCGCTTGATACTCCAACCATGTCTGTGACTTCTCTCCTCTTCGCCATCTGTTTTCACACTCTTCTAATTCTCTTTTCTCTTGTCTTCTTTCCTCATCCTGCCTCATCGTCTCTTGATTTTTAACCAGATCAAATGTTTCTCACTTTTTGTTTAAAAAATATTTCGTCATCACTCTCTGTGTGTATCACCCAATTCTGTTTTCTTCCCCAACCCCTCTGTGTTTTTCTTTTCTTTCTTTCTGAAAGCGCTCTGAGCTCATTTCAGGCCATCCCTTCAATCTTGTAAGTGCATCTCGGTGTGAAAAGCCTCCCTTAGCAGTGCCAGCATATGTGTGTGTGCATGCGTGCGTGCGTGCGTGCGTGTGTGTGTGTGTGAGACTAATAAATGTGTGAGTGGAGCTTTGCTTGCATGAGCTGGAGGCTTATCTCAATTTTAGTTTTGTGTGTATGTAAGATAGAGAGGATATGTTAGGGAGCTGGCGGAGTCTCTTGAGTGTTCTGAGATTTGCTTGCATGTGATCTGTCCTTATCTAAAGCTTGAGAGTGGTGATCTTGTGTGGTTTGATGTTGGTCCTCAGCGGAGCTTGGATTTAGTGGTGTGTTTGTAAGCTGATATGTGTCGCATTGAGCTTTGTCAGTATGGTGTGCACGTGTCTTTACAGATGCTACACTTTTAAAGTGCCCAACCATAATTGTTAGTGTTAGTATAGTTGTCTTAAAGGGACAGTTACCCTCAAAAAGTAACATTTGTCATCATTTGTTTACTCTCTTGTCATTCCAGACTAGTATGATGGAACATGGGCATGATGATGATGATGATTATTATTATTAGTGTTTGATTCTTATTAATATTTGAGTTATTATGGTTAACAAATATTAAAATCATAAATCAATTTTTATTACTTGAATTCAAATAAACTTAAACAGTAATATACAGTATAGTGTGTGTATATATATATTTAACTCGTGATTAATCGCAAATCGCAAATTTTTATATGTTCTAAATGTACCTTAAATTAATACTTTTCAAGTTTTTAATACTCTAATCAATATGGGCATGGACAAATAAGGATGCTTTATGCAATATGTTTATTATTAGTGAAACCCTAGTCAACATAGGGCATGAAGACTAGATGTGTTTTAAAGGTCATAGATGTTTTTCAAAGAACTTGTTCATGTCTATTAGACACATAAAAAAGAACAGAAATACCAGGTTCCCATTATGTCTCTTTATTTGCACTGAGCAATTTACTTACACAAGTCCGTTTACATTTTCGCACGACAGGGCAGCTCACTTCTTCTGAACATGCAAAATGTACATTTATTATTTATTATTACATTTGTTTGCCTCTCTGTGCCCACATGCATGTTTTTGATGCAGCTAAATTCTCAATAAAACTGTTTTCATTGCTATATTGTACTGTTTCTGTTGTCAGACAATGGAATGAATATGAAATAGTGACTGAAACGTGACCCATTAAGACTGCATAACCAGCTCTCCCTTCCAAGGTGTTAATCTGCACAAAAATCCTGATTTATAATCGAGCCGTTGTCCGATTAAATCAAATAGGCTACACATAAAATAAAGACAATAGCTGTGCTGTGATTTTGGCTATACTTGCATGTACTGATGAAATCGAATACACATAAGACAAGACAAAGACATTGCCTGTGCTCTGATTTTGGCTATATGCATATAAAATTAGAGACGCAACAGTATATCTATTTTAACTGAAAGCGCTGCTCCTCTCAGCCACTCGCTGAACAGAGCAGACGCAGAGAAAGAGATGTGTGTGCAGCGGGAAACAGAGACCGGCGAGTCTCAGAAACTAAATAAGGTTTGGGCAAATCGTCTCAGGTTACTTATGTAACCATGGTTCCCTGAGTAGGGAATGAGACACTGCGCCCTCTAGGGGTCGCTATGGGGAACGCCTCGTCGTGACCCGTGTCTGAAGCATACATTATATATATATATATATATATATATATATATATATATATAAAACTAAGAATGAGGTTAAAAACACACAACAAAATTAGTAAACCCTTAACTAAAATTATAAAAATAAAAATTTATTCAAACAGTTAAAACTATAATAGTATCTCAATGATACTAAACTAACCCTGACTACTACTACCATTTTATTATTTTATTTTGTTTTACTTAATTAAAATACCTTTTATTTTAAAATATACTAGTCAACATCTGAAGTGGATCAAAACCTTTCATCAAAGTTGTCCTAAAACCAAATATCAAAATGCGTTCTTGTCTTAGGACAACTTTGATGAACTTTTTTGATCCACTTCAAATGTTGAGTACTGTGGTTTGAAATACATTTTGTTTAATGTTTTAGTCTCTCTTTTTTTTTTTAAAGTAAATTTATATTTACAGTGAATTAGCAATTCAAGACAGTATTGTCATATACCTATTCATTTTATGTAATTTCTCCATTTTCAGGTGAAAAAACAAACAAACAAACGAACAAAAAAACTATATACATCCTCAAGCCCAAAATTGAAACTGTAATGGCATTTATAATGATTTTTATAGTGTTTTTTGTGCGTTTTGAAGTTTGACAGTCTGTCTTTTTGTTTGTGGAAAAGAGCAGAATAAACACTCTTCCAAATTTCTCCTTTTGAGTTTTCCAGAACAAAGTCATACAAGTTTGGAACAACATGACTGAGTAAATGATGACATCTTGAATTAAATCACTCCTGTAAATATTCATACGCTTAAGTGTTCATAGTCTGTGTACTTCGGTGTATGTAGGCGATTGTGGTTGTTAGTTTTTTCAGACTGCAATGAAATCTGTGCAAGTACATTTATTTCTGAATGGTGATGCTGAGCTCTCGTATGAACTGGTCACCTCCATACGCATATTCAGAGCTCTTTGCATGGCTCGATGAGAAGATCTGGGTCCCATCGTCCGTTCCAAGAGTAATGAAATCTCTGGCAGCGTGTGTGTGTCTGTGTTCGCATATGAAAGCAGTGCAAGTGAAAACCCGCTGACGGCTCGGTGGGCGTCTGCTGTGATTGGATGAGACAGAAAGGGGGCGGAGGCGGAGGCCTCGATTGTCCCGCGTGACTGTCAGGAGTGTATGAAGATGGAGGTGTCAGCACGGCTCACGAAATGAGAACAGACATGCCACCAAGACATCCAACGGTCTACATTACTCAAACCAGCCAAGAGTTCCGCAATGCACTTCCTCAACTACTTCATATGGACGCACATCAAAACTCTCTTTTATATCCCCTGCTGCGCACACATGCGCTTTTATATCATTCAACACCGAGATGTTGTCTCACAAGAACATTTATAGGTCAAGAAAGTCAGCATAAATGCATATAAACACTGCAAATGTGTGCTGTTTTCACACAGCCGCTCTTTTATTTTGCTCGGCCAAACAGGCACAAGCACAAACACATTATTAAACAACATTATTAAACGGCGTTTCCCACAAGCCCCTGTTTGGTGCACTCTGGGACACTGGTTGTTCCTTTGAAAGATGGTGCCGTATGGATTGACCGCTCTGGCTTTCCAATACCAACAAGCTTCATGGAGCTTACAAGCAGACACCCGCTAATAACTGTATACAGATGCTAGTTATTTCCTACCCAGTCTGTCTGTCTCGCTGTCACTTTTTCTTTTTTGTCCTTTTTTCTGATGTTCAAAGTACACATCTGTGTCCGTATTGTGAAGGGGTTTGTCAGTGGTCCTGAACACATGCTTTTCATGTGATCAGAAGAATGTGGCACATTCCAAGAATACGGTACACTTTTTAAACACATCAATATCTATATCCCTCCTTTAATTGTTAGATATATTCAAGGATGCATCTGCCAATTAAAATCATGCAACAAAGTTGCTATTTTGACATTTATTGTACTAAAAGTAAATCATCTATTTTCACATTTTTACACACTTTTTGAATGCTAACTGCATTTGTCAAACTTTAACATTCCCCATTATTTTAATAAGAAAATTATTTTATAATTTAAATTATCATTTATTTTATATCATTTATGGGAAATATAAGTCTATCAAACCAGCATTGGTCCCAACCTAGCTACTTTTATTTTATTTTATTTCATTCATTCATTCATTCATTCTTTTTAAAAACAAATAGACTGTTTGTTCCCTGAAACTCACTCAGATTTTTGTTTTATGTTATTATTTTATTTTTGTAGTATTATTCATTCATTATTTTTTTTTAAATAAAAAGATTGTTTGCCCCTGAAACTCAGATTTTTTTTTATTTTTAATTAATTAATTCATTTTTTTAAACAAAAAGACTGTTTGCCCCGAAACTCAGATTTTATTTTATTTTTTATTTTATTTTATTTTTTATTATTCATTTATTCATTCATTCTTTTTTTAAATAAAAGACTATGTTTGTCCCCTGAAACTCACTCAGATTTTTATTTTATTTTATTTATTCATTTTTGTTATTCATTCATTTAAAAAAATTTAAATAAAAAGAGTAACTCAGATTTTTATTTTATTTTATTTATTTATTTTTTTTTGGAGGTGTTCAGTCAGCTGACTGGTAAACACATGACAAAATGTGTCTCAGTGAAATGATGAAAAATTAATCCTTTCTAGATAATAGTATCTGCATCGACCATTATTTTATTTTATGTTATATTTTGTTTTATATGTATTTTATTTTATTATTCATTACATTTTGTCTATTTAATTTTCATATTTAATTCATAGAAAATAACAGTCAAAAGGATTTACATTTTTTCTTTTTGTTATTAAACTGTATTTATACCCCAAATTTTAGTAACCAGGTTGGAAAAAGTTGTAAACCTCCATTTGAAGAAAATGAATAGAAAATAAACAGCTCAAATTATATTTAATTTTTAGTTGTATATTTTTGTTACCATTTTCTGACGGTTAAGCACCTCCTTTCACTGACTATTTGTTGAAAAAGAAAATAAATAATTACATCATTTTAATGTTGTAGACCCTATTCGTGGAAAGTGCCTTGTACTGACAGATTTTTTTTGCTCCGCCCCCTTTCTGACACATTCTTGATGCTAATTGCACGTTAAATGTGTGTATCGTATGTTTTCATATACAAACTTTAATTTCTCTGCCAGACTTAGCCTTTTACACGCACTCTCATGCACCAGCTGGCCCGTCCACAGATGACAAGCTCTTGGCGGTCAGAGTGGAAACCTACTCAACCTCAGGCCGAGACTTTAATAAAGCTAATTAGCAGGGCCTAAACGTCACCTTCAAATATTATCCCCAATAAACCAGAACAGTCCTCTTTCACACAGTGCCAGTCTGAAGAGACCTCGGATGCCAGACACTTTGCTGTATTTTTTTATACCAGCACTGTTGCAGGTTTCTAGTGAGGAAAAAGGTTTTTTAATCACTTTTCATGCCTGGTTAGTTTTGTAACCATATTTTGGACACATTGAAACTATCTTTGAATGTCCTCTGCATTCAGATGTGGTATGTACACATTTATGCGCATGTAGTCATGGTGTAAATGACACAGAGCTCTTGTGTCCTCAGCTTGTAAAGCCTGCACTGTGTTTGTGTTTTCACAGCAGCAGGAAGACACCTGTGTTCTTTTAGAGGACTTTTATGAAAGAAACATTACGGCTGACTCCTTTAATTGTCCAGGGAAATGAACTGATTTACTTTTCATTAGAGGAGGCCCTTGACCCGGCCCTTTAGACGGCCGTAATGTCACTAATTATTTTGATGACTTCAGCATAATTGTGTTTCCATGTGTCCCTGTAATGAGAGCGTATCCTGTCGTGATGTCATGGGGGAGCTTACACACAGCCTGCAGGTGTGAGGCAAGTGTCTGAGATCTCAAAACAGCCCACAGACACACACACAAACGCGCGCACTCATGACAGTGGTCTGACCGCTGACAGCTTGTCTTTGGAGAGCTGAAGTCAGGGGAGCCTCATGTCTTCTTGTCCATTCACAGCACAGACCCGTGCAAAACCAAAGCTTGTCAAACTATTCAGGGGAGGACATTATAAAACTGCTTTGAGACTTTTTCTGGGGTGTAAGGCCTGTTTACACCAAATCCAGTGTGATTAAATAATACATTAAATATTTGCAAACAATTTATCTCAGACAACACTAATGTCAATTTTTATTTTATTTAAAAAGTTTTTAATTAACTCATTTCATTTTATTTTATTTTAGGTGTTCCCTTGGCGGTGTCAATCACAAAAACACATGACAAAATGTGTCTCAACTCAGTGATGAAAAATTTATCCTTTCTAGATATCACTATCTGTATCAGTCATATTATTTTATTCTATTTTTTCATAATTTTATTTTATTTTATCAATCATCTTACTGGCAAACATGACAAAATATATCTCAACTCAGATAAAAAATGAAATGAAAAATATATGCAACAGTTTTTTTAAATAATGTACTGTAAAATGTATTTTAATAAAATAAATACATTTTACAGTACATTATTTTTTATTTTTAAAATTTTTATCATCTTAATTTATTAATTTATTATTATCATCTTATTTGGTAAATTTATTTTAATTTATCAGTGTATTATTATTTTAATTTATAATTATATTATTTTACATTTTTAAAAAAATCCAGACTTTGTTGTGCTTGCCCCCTGAGACTCTATTTTTGGCCCCTAAAGGCTCAATCTATCGCAGTTGAGGCTCAGACAAATGCAGGACTGTCGGAGTGCATTTCCACACTTGAGCAGGAGGTGGCGCGTTACAAAGAGGATGCTGGGAAGGCACAGGCCGAGGTGGACCGGCTCCTGGAAATCCTCCGTGAGATGGAGAATGAGAAGAACGACAAGGATCGCAAGATCAACGAGCTGGAGAGGTACACAAACTTACACGTTTACTCTTAGTATAAGAGTAATGAAGACAATATAGACTTCTGTTGTTTTTACAGTATGTAGCTACTATTGACTAATCCAAATCCTTTTTAAATTTAAACATCATTTATTTCATTCGTGAATTTTTTTCCGCAAAGTAAGGTTCTGCAAGATTTAAGTCACTTTTGGGGATAAAACCCCCAAATGAGCGGATACTTGCAAACTCTTACTTGGTTTGTGTCTGTTTTACCACGTTTGTTGCTACGCATGTAATCTTCAGTTCCATGTTCAGTTTATCTTGTATTTAGCCCAATATTTTTCAATTTTTCATTTATGCAACTTCCACAATTTATTTTCCATTCTCCATCTGCCATGTTTCCACTGCAGGATTCATGATTGCTTGCTGAAATAAAAGCAACAATATCAGCCTTTCTACAGCATCAGTAAAAATTTCCCTTGTATTGAGTATTGCGACAACCCTAGTGTAAATGTACCTATTTCTATATATCGCTACTAACAGATAAGTCACCAATTCAGTTCAAAAGAGTTTTTTTTTTGTATCTAGTTTTTTGTATTTAAGACTCTAGGGTGTCCTTGTCATTGTATACTTCAACTGTGTTCACATTAGTACTCTATGTCCTCTCAACATTTTTTGGTTTTAGAGCAAGAGCTAAAAGAGCTGTTTGGGGCAAGGATGAAGACGAGGGTGTCTTCTGTTTGTGTTCTTTGTTAGCTGCCATTCTCACCCACTCAGTCATTTCTTATCCTCCGTTTATTTTGGCGTTAGACCAGAACTGAGTTGCAGGAGATTTGGAGAGCAACTTCAGCGCTCATCCCACAGCATTATGGGATTCTGGCATTGTTTGATAGATTCATTGCAAGCATAGATTTAGTTCTAATCTCCAACACATTGCTCTGTTCCCGAAGTACACTACCATTCAAAAGTTTGGGATCGGTAAAATTTTGAAGGTTTTTAAAAAAAAGTTTCTTATGCTCATCAAGGCTGCATTTATTTGATCAAAAATACAGAAAAAAATGTAATTGCAATTTAGCGCTGCGTCACAGAAATTAATTATAGTTTAAAGTATATTAAAATAGGAAACCAATATTAGAAATTGCAATAATATTACACAGTATTTGTGTTTATTTCTGCATTTTTGATCAAATAAATACAGCCTTGATGAGCATAAGAGACTCCATTAAAAACATTAAAAATCTTATTGATCCCAAACATTTGAAAGGCAGTGTATGTTCTGTGTTCATAGACGTGGAGAATAAGAGCTCCAACTATTATGCATGTCTGCTCCTCCCAGGATATGTTGCACTTTATGTCGGTGGTGTAAACATCTGTGTTTTTGGCCTGTTTAATTGGACTAATTAATGGAAGGCAGATATAGAGCTTCTCTCGTCTTGGCTTTCATAAAGAAATAAAGGAGATGAATAATTGAAATAGGGCTTGAGTGTAAACAGACAAGAGTCTGGGCTGGAGGTGAAGAGTTGTGGAGGTCACAGATGTTGATGTTGTGCATTGACAGTCGTGTAGTACTCCCTTTCAGCCTCCGTCAGGCTGTGTTGTAGTTGGAATCCTGACAGGGCCATTTATTTGCTCTTGCCGTTGGATACTAGAAGTGTTTTTAGGTGGATTTCTGTTGATTCATAAATATTCATCTGACGCGCACTGAATGTCTCACACTTTCTTAACAGATCTGCGTTAGGAGAGGATTAGACTAAAACAAACTCCATATGCTTGGCTCGATGCATCATTCATGTCAACCGAGAGACGATTTCTGAAATAAACACCAGCCGCAATCGCTAACCGTGGTGCTCCGGGCTAATTACCGCTCAGAGTCGAGTTATGTTCTCGAAACACACCGGGGAGTTCGGTTCTCAAAAACCTCCCATTGTTCTCCGTGTCGTAGTTTTCCAGCACTCTTGATGTGGTTGTGACGGAGAGTTGTTCAGACAGATCCTCTTTTGTTAGCACCTGCGTCTTTAATCAAGATGCGAGTGGCAGGTAGAAGCGACGCGTTCTGTTCAGAGTCAGGATTACCTTTCTCCGAATGCTCCGAGATGGAGAAGCCAACGCTCCTCTTGTTGCAGATCAATAGTGCGGTGCCTCCGCACTATTGAGGAGGTCTTGTTCAAAAATGCCTTCAAAGTCACAGAAAAATGGCAGAGGGTGAATTGGGGCATTGGGGTATTTATTTCATAAATCCGGTAGCTGTAAATTTGCAGGTAATTATGGAGGATTGTAAGGCTTACTGTTTGAGATGGAGCTAAAATGGGAGGGTGAGCTAGAGGAGACAAGTAGCAAAGAAATAGAGGTAAAACAAATGAAAAAAGCACAACAGAAGTACTATTTGTAAGAATAGTGAAGCAGAGTCTCAAAATATGATACGCCTTTGAGTTTCAGAAAAGATGCGGTGCATTCTATGGAAATGTTTAAGGACTAAATTTAACACATTACTTTAGTGCATTTTTTGAGTGTTATTTTAATATTGAAACATAAGCCATACAAAACACTCTCAGAACATCTACAACTTCACCCACTAGTATATTTTGTAATAAAATAGGTATGTCACCAAAGATTAAAAACATTTAATAATAATAATAATAATAATAAAAATATAATTTAGTAAATGATTAAATAAAAATGTAAAAAAAAAAACATATAATATGTATATTATGTAATATAATGTATGTTTGGAGTTTTATACTATATTATATATTATTATTATATATAGTATACAGATAAAATGTATATAGATGTATGTATTATATTATATTAAATTATACTATATTATATTATATTATTGTATTTCTAGTCTAGATTTGAATAAACCTATGTGAATATTCTGACAAATTGACTATTGAATTGAATTGACAAATTGAATATTCTGACTGCGAATGTTCCTTTATAGTAAGTTGTAATACATTTTTTTTTATTAATATTATTACATTTTAAGCCCAGTTTATGCTCTTCTCTGCAAATTTGATGTATAATTGTGAATAAATGGATTAATTCATCTGTATATTCATATAATCACTTTTCACAGCCTTACTAAAGATGCATATGGTTTTCATGAACTTTGCATTTTTTTAAAGGAAGAAGCATGTGAGATTGCATGTCACATTGTCAGGTTCTACCATCATCTTTGTGATTTAAATTTTTTATGTATTTTTCCTTTCACTTTGCATTTATCAGCAAGTCTACATGTGAAGGCTCATGCGCTGTTAACTCTTGTCTTAGCTTTACAAGTTAACCCAGCTCAATCTAGGTGTATTTTCACCTCTCTTTCTCTCTTTCTTCTTCTGCATTTCTCTTCACTGGAATGCTGTCTACTTCCCAGTCTGCTTTCAAGGTCAGTATGCCTACTTTCCTCCCCTGCACTTCCTTACAACTGCAAATCAACGTCTTTAGGTTGTAACACACAAACTATATGCTGCTTTACCAGGGCCTGCTCTGTAAATCATTTTAAGAATATTTCGAATGATCCGGGACCTGTGTTTCTGAGGGGCTGGTGGGGGGAAAACTGTATCTGCTAGACGGGGGGGAAATAATTCAGCGGTTGATTGTGGTGTGGTGGTGCCCTTGGGCGATACACTTAACCCCAATTTGCTCTTGTTGCTTCCATCACTCCCCTTGGACTTGCTTCTAAAGTTTCTATGGAAAAAAAGAGAAATTGCTCTGACCTGAATTGATTAAAGGTTCAAAAGAAAGAATGAGGAAACCTGGGAAGGTCAAGCAGGCGCTACAAACAGAAGAGCTTGTCTTATTAATGCATGCTAGCTTACCTGTGAGGTCTGCTGAGACGAGTTCAGAAGAAGAAAAGAAGGACTCACCAGAGCTTCTGCTGTATGCAGATGACAGATTGAAAGGAAAAGAACGTGGGAGAGCCCTTGCAGAACTTCTAATTGGAGCGTAAAGAATCTCCATCAGTCATTTTCTCCCGAGCGGTGTTGAAAAGCTTGCCTCTTCTGCCAGAGCACCGTCGATACAGACATGTCCCGCTACAGCCGGGATCTCTGCGCTCGACTTGTTTATCATGGTTATTATTTGCATCTCTTTTTAGTTTGGTCTGGAACAGAGACTTGTCAAGCTGTTTTATTTTTTCCGCTCTTATTACTCCACTAGAAAACAAGCCGAATGTTTCGGGAGCGCTTGACAACTGTCATTCTCTCTCACTCTCGATCTCTTTCTCGCTCATCCTTCTTCTCCTCCTCTTTGTTATTTTGGCTTTTTTGATTTATTCTCTGGAACTCAGCAACACAACAAACAGGGCTGATTTGATATCTCCCCCAGATGAAGGGGCACGGCGTAATGAAAAGGAATCCATGTCAGTCTGAAATGAATTTTCCCCAGTGTTACACATTTGCTGCTGAGCTCTAGGGCCTCTTGATTTAGTCTACAAATGCTTGACAATAAATGTGATGTGCATCGTTCCCTGAAGTATGAAAGCTTCCGGTCTTCTCTTTCTCTCTTTCTTTGTTTCTGTTCTTCTGTCTCATTCTCTTGTTCTTTATTTCTTTTCTTTTTTTCTTTGTTTATTTCACTCTTACTCTTTTTCTCTTTCATTCTCAACCTCTAATTATTCTCTGATTTTCATTCTTCTTTCTTTTTGTCTTTATAACTGTATTTCTTTTTATCTCTTACTTGTTGTCTCTTAGTCTCTATGGCTATGGCTCTTGGCACAATTGTTTTGCCTATAATTAAAAAATGTAGTGTTCTTTTTTTATAATCATGCATGCAATACAATACATTGCATACAATATTTAAAAATAGATTTTTTCTTTTGTAATTTCTTTATAATTCTTATTTTTCTTTTAGTATTTTTTGGCATAACTGTTTTGTGTACGACATAAAGTCTTATTTGACTGATTTGTGTCCAATATTTAAAAAAATCTTTAGTATTTTCTTTTTAATTGTTTCTTTTTTCATGCCATAATTATTTTTTCTACTCTATTATAATTTTTTTTATTTTTATTATTTTATTACATTTATTTTGACAATTTATTTGTGCACACTATTTCAATTCTTTTTTCTTTAGTATTTTATAAGTGCAATCAATTTTAATTAAGATTAGCATGCAGTATGTTATTTTAGGAATATTTAATATATATATTGTCTTTGTAATATATAGTAATATATTTTGTAATATATTTTGTCATTCCTCCCTCTGTTTTTCCTCTCTCTCCCACATTCTCTGTTTGTGTAATTTAAGTCACCATTACTCATTCTGGAGAGGTAGAAGGCTGTATTTCTGGGTTTTGTCTCATTATTTTGGGAGGCTGTTCTGCTGCGCTGGTCTGCCGCTCTCGGTTCCCTCGGCAGGTGAAGGCCACAATCCCGCACAGACAGGGAGGTCTGCGTCTCTGGGCCTGTCGATGATTGCATACGATCCGGCCGGCTCGGGGAACACCTCCACCTGTCTGTTGTCTCTGTGTGCTTTCCAGTTAGCTTTGGCTGGTCTGGCTTCAGGGCCAACCGCATGATTAACTAGATTAGTCAAGGGCCGGAGGGAATCATCCGCTCCACGTAGGACGGTATGTAAGAGACGCAGGGACACCCCATCGTGCACCTGGCCACAAAACCTCCTCGGAAGCCAAAGTCTATTAGGCTCGAAAAGTTCGCTCTCACCACAGACAGAACTGTGAAAATGAGCCCTGCTATCAAGCCAGCTCTGCTCCACCTGCTGCTTGAGAAAAATGGCCACAGTCTGCGAAGAACCCACATTTCCTGTCTTTTATTAGTCCTGAGCTCACGAACATATCCTGAACGCCAGGAAGGAGATATCCGGCCAATATAAAGACACAATTGACATTAAAGGATGACTTTGAGAGGGATGAGGGATGAAGTAAACACACACTCTCAAACAGTCTTTGATGGCGTTCCACTCCGTTCTCTGCCGGTCAAACAGGTTGGGCTTGCAATAAACAGAAAGGTTTTTGTCCTTACTCAACCTTTTTGCTGTTTATTCCATCCTGGACTGTTAGTGTGGGCACACTTATGTGCAATTCTGTCAGCACGGTTGAAAAGAACAAGAAAAATGACATCAAAATGTGGGCCCAAATGGCTTGGATGAAAACGCTGCGCGGTAACCATCTGCAGCCTTCTGCGTTGCGCAGCCCGCTCATAAATGCACGTTGGCTTCGTAACATAAGACGCTTTTCTGTTTTCTACCCAGAATTCCTCATAACAGCGTGATGGATTTATTTCTTCAACATCGATTTCCTTGTGCATTCATCTCAAAATTGCACCCAATTTTACCATTGGGTCTTGTTTTATGTTATTAAGTGTCAGGTGTGATTGAACTTTGGAATAACGTTTGCTTTAATGCCGGCCGGGCCTCATTTCTCCAGTTAAATGACCACAAAACGTAATTGTTTAGAAATGTAGGTTCATATTATTTTGAGAAAGGAAATGTTGAAAGAGCGAACATTTTATAAGGAGTCATTTTAAGGGCTTGTGCATTTTGGGTTGCTAGCTCGACCTTGCGGTGGTGGTCATTCAGCAGTGTTCACTTTTGCCTCATGGCTTTGGGAAGGACTTGTTCTTCCTTTGAGCGCAAAAAGGACTTTTTTGGTTTTTGTGTTTTGAGAGGCGTTTACTAGATGCATGTTTCAAAGACTTCATTATGCAGAAGTTTAGAACATCTTTATAGCCGAAAGTTAGCAAACTTTCTGATGTTTGCTCACACGTTTCAGCCGATATCTTGAGAATTTCAAAGTGCTTTCAAGCCTTACCCTGTAAACATTGCCTGGAGCTGTCTTGCGTATGAATTATTAATAGTAAGATCTGGACCAAAATAATGAATTACTATTTTTGATAATATTCAAGGGTTTGAGCGCCATGAAAATAAGATTCATTAAAAAGCATTAGGTTAGACTGGAGTGCAGAAATTCTCTTCTGAACGCATTTTCACCTGTGTGTCCAAATGTGTGTTTTGTTTGGATTTATATGTTACGTTTTGATGTATAATTAGTGTGTTTGTCCTCTAGACAAGCTCAAAATTGTGCTGAAAGATTATTTTCTTTCTCTCCCGCCCTGTCATAGACCTGTTTACCTGTTTTTCATTTTTTCCACTCATGTTAATGTTGCTTCTCTCGTCGCCTGAAGCCGCACTGACACTCAAATATAGTACAGTTTTCCTACACTCTAAAAAATGCTGGGTTGTTTCAACCCAACTTT